ACGGTCAATCCATGAGTCCATCTTAAGAATTTGCGCAATTTGTTCGTCATTTTGATATGAGTTTTTATGATTCGGATTTTCATCCCCCTCCGTTCTCGTCGATCCAGGTATTGTGGTTTGATGCCGAAGATGTCCATGTACACCTGAGAGGCCTGCCGGCCACTCAGGCAGTGGCCCCACCTAGCCTGCTTGCGATACTATGGAAAGCCCTGGCCCAGGAATTTGCCGGCCCCACTTTTGAAGCTTTGGCTCATTGTTGGAACCGTCCCAACCCTTAGCCCCTGAAGCTTGGACGGCAGGCTGATTACACCTCATTCCTAAGCCGGGTAAGCTAAGTACGAAACCGCAAGCTTTTCGACCAATCTGCCTGCAACATCCGATATGTAAATTATTCTAAATTAGCTTCCTGTTTCGTCACCCAACAATTGTTACATTACACGTTTGATGCACGCAAGTGTTTGCGATTATATGCATATTTGTCCAATAGAGGCATAATAGAGTGTTTGCTTCAGGTAGCTCAGCACTGTAAGATTGTCCGCGATAGCTGTTAATATCATAGCAAGGACCAAATAGAGGCAGACCTGTTTGGTGGCCTTTAGGTCTCCCTCGACATAAATAAAGCCTTTGATTCGGTCAATAGGACCACGGTGGGACTTGCCATTGAGCTTTTATCCCTGCCGCAGGACTTCAAAACCATGAGACACACCCTTTTTGCATCCACACAAATACCACATTTCGCATAAACAGTTGGTTGGTGAGCTCGCTGCCTCCAGAGGTATTTGACAAGGCTCTAGGGATGACCTTATCCTGTGGATTCTTTGTATGCATCTGGTATTGGTAGACTTGGCCGCTCCCTATTCACATTAGTGGATACACGACCACTTGATAATATATGCTGACGACATTCATCTCAGATGGCAATTTAAAAGCATGTCAGCAGGTTACACTACTCTTTCCGACCTTAATTATGTCCTTCGGATATTTCGATCGTATGGATTCACCATCAATCATGACAAAAGCGTCGTATTGTTTCGAACAGTGGGACGAGGTATGCACCAATTCTCAAAGAAATGGATTCAACATATAAAGGATGGATCCTGCCGGACTCTTCACTCCGAAACCATCGAAAACAGAATACCTTGGCGTCATTGTAAGTTATAAAGCATGGGAAATAGATACGGTCCATCGTCGTGTCATTGCAGCCCAGATGTGTTCTTCCATTCTCAGAAAGTGGCTCATAACTTAGAGCGTTCCACAGAAGGTTCGTTTTCGCCTTTGTTAGCAGTGCATTGTTCCTACCATCATGTACGGCATACAGGAGATGGGAATCATTCAAAAAGATTTTAAGAAAATTATGAGTATGATAAATGTGCACTTCCGCCGAATGATTCGAATATCTGTCTACCTCACACATGAGTCCACACATGACATATTTTGCAGATTTGATCAGCCAGCGCCCTGGGCAATTCTCCAAGACCACAATAGTCGATTGCGTCGCACGCTGGAACACAAGCGCCGGCAAGCAATCGACAGAACCATGAACCCATCCGATCCTCCTGATATCATTGTTCAGACCCCAGAGTACCCAATTAGTTTCCTCGAAACACCGTCCGATGCCACATGATCAGGCCCCTGAGCTCTCATATCCAGAGTGCCATCGACAATTCAATCAGGCTGGCCTGCTCAAACGCCATATGCGTCAGATGCACCAAATCCCTTGTTTGCCGGAAGATGTCTATAACCCGTTGAGGGGTTTAGAGAATGGCACCAATACCTATCGTCATTGTTATATATGTTTTCCAACATAACAGCACTTCGAACACTCATCAATAAATGTACATATACTGCTTTTGATCTTGGCTAGGCCTTGGCGATTCCAATCGTGTCTCGAGTTCACGTGGCCACGCATTCACAACATCGTTCATACATAGATTTGTTCTTGGATTAGGCACTTTGCACTAAATTTGCCACGCACTGTGCCTTTTGTCACCAGCAGGTGCATCCAAAGGCCATGATCCGACACTACCGAAATCAATCTCTGTAAAAATTTGGTCCAGCCAATACCCATACGAAATTTGTTCAGGACTTGGACAACTTTGGCAATGGTCGTGGAGAATGCTAATTTTGCCGTGTCAAGACCATGAATGTCTAGACACGCCATTGTTGCGCGATCTTTCAACCCGCTGCCGATGATTGGACATGTTTTTCAGCCAACCAATTATCTTGCGATGCCTTGCCCCAAGCGTCTCTGGCACCCGGCTATGACCGCAGATGGGGATGCAATTCCACTACCTGTCCGCACCGGCTGCCAAGAAACCCCGTGGAATGGGAGATTTGACAGACAACACAACCAATCCGCTTTCAATGAACACACAACCAACCTCGAGTACCCATCCTGTGGATCTCACGAGTCCGACTTTATATGAATGTTCCCATTGCCCTGCCAATTTCTTGACTAATCAGGGATTGCACCAACATCCGGAAGAATATTTAGTGATCCCAGCCACAGAGTCAATTGCAATTGCTCCGCCTCCCCGCCAGGAAAAGACACCATCCGGACTCGTTTGGCCGAACCGGCCTCCACCGAGATCCCAATTTCAGTGGCTGAATTCACTTGCCCATTGCATTTGTTGACAATTGGCCGGAAGGCCCTTTCCTCGCACAGCCCATCGGGTGGACAAGCCGGAGTCCTTTGACTTTAGGCCAAGCCGTGACATGAGACCTGGGAGGTTGAGCTGCATGCACTGTTGTGCCAATTTCATAATGCCTTTTGCGTTGCAGAATCATTACAGTCGTGGCACGTGCCCTCAATTGGTTGTCCAATGGGTCCGTGATCAGCACATGATTTGGTGCAGCCGGCGCCACCAGATCTGCCAAAGCTGAAGACTCCCTCACATAACACGCTTATCATGGGTCTCAAGCATGCCAATGTTAAGACCACTGGCTACGAATTGATCCATGATATGCCCATGATTGTTCCTACCACCATTGCCTTCGAGCATCGTTTATTTCATGGATTGCCGCAGGTACACTTCCATTGAGGACAAGATCTTTTTGGCCCTGACCTGGCACGGCACATGCACCGATTCGATGGGCCTGGACCTCAAAGCATGAAGATTCGTGGTGGGATCCATTTCAAATTTTTGTTGATACAGATTTTGCTTCACAGAAGTGCATTTTACATCATGTATTGATGGAATTCGAACATGTACTAGCTGGTTGCAATGGCAGAGAATATGTCCAACGACGATTTGTCGTTTCAAGATTTGCTTGTGGTTTACGGGGCCCACATGAAAAGGTCCCGCGCGGAAGATTCAGACGGATCCTCCACCCGAATTGGCAAGGGGAGATCGAAAAATCGATCCAACTTCCCGGACTCATCTTCCAAATCCGACTCCGAAGCCCAGCTCGTATAGATGTTGGCCAAGATATGTCTTCAGCAAAAGGACATGCTGAATGCAATGAATCTCGACAGAAGTTGCCCATTTTTCTCCAGGCAAGCAAGGGATCGATACTTATGCTCATGGCCTCAAAAGAATGGTATACCCAGAAGCAGCAAGCGGGTGTTACCTGTCCTCTCCGTCAGGTTCTCTTTCTGAAGGGGATTGAGGAATTGGTCCACAGGATTGGCAGATTGAGTCCAGAGAACAGCGAAGACGTACTCTGTGCCAACCTCAGGGCCAAACAAATCTTGACGGAGCAGAACGCCTAGAACTACGTAACATGGGGCCAGCAAGCCAAATGCCTTTATCCGACCAAGCAAGAGCTTTTGGAATTTGCCAGGGTCAAGGAAATCTTTACGCTTCTGGTGCGACTGGGGCGCCAATACAGACCTGATCCATCGATTCTTTCCACTCAAGCCCATGAACCAAGACGGCATTATGAAAGATCACATGATCACCATCCCATGGCGGTTGGACTTCTCGTTGCGCTCTCAGGAGAACCATCAGCTGTAGGGGGCATTCTAGGCCCTTTGTGGGAACGGCATGGGGCAGATGATTTTGCTCCGACTTTGCACGACGTCTGATAGAACAAGGAGGGGCGCAATGCAGGGCTAATGCCCGTCTGTGGACGGAAGATGGGCGTTCTAGCCTCAGGAGGCTAAAGGTAGGGAATGCACGTACTATGCACGGTCGTGGTGGCCTGGGATGCTGCAGGGGCAGTGGTTTTGACATAATTTAATTAATTTGGATTTTGGGGATGCCAATGGTCATCTGGGCAACAAAGGACACACAACAAAGGACACACCCTGGCCCTGAAGGTTGCCTAGGCTGCGTTACAGGTTTATGGCCACAGGCGCCGAGGAGCGTTTGAGGGGGGCCGTTGCCTTCGGAAGTCTAGAAAAGAAGAGGCAGGAGGCAGGCCTCGGCCACGTGGCAGCCCAGACCGGACCCAGAAACGACAATTTGCCCATAACGACGCATCCTGGCCCTCAAAGACACAACGGCATCAGCCAAAGTGCCGAGGCTACATTGCAACTTTGCGGCCATACCTATACTACGTGCCCTCAGAGAAACTAGTTGTAATTAATATTAACACCTACAAAAATAAAGACGCAAACGCCAAAATTGCACCCTACGGTATTTCAAATGCCTCCCGCCTAAATTACGATTAGGCTAAGATCGGCGAAAAAATATATTTATATGCATACCATCCATTCCAAAATCATATAATTTATAAAATATATTTCATTTATGTAAATTTATTTATATATTTATATAAATATATTCTATTATATTTTTATATTAATATCATTCCTTATTTAAAATATATAAATTTATTCAAAATTAAATAAACAAATTCATATATATTATTTTAATTTAAAATAAATATTTAAATATTTTATATATATATAATATTTAACCAAACATATTAATATAAAATTAATTAATAAATTATTCATATCCTTTCTTTCTCCTCCTCCTCGTCTCCTCAATCGTAAATATCGAATTTATTTTTTTTGCCGGACCTCCATCGTAAATATTAAATAACAATATTCCCTATCGGATCTCAATCATCAATTCCGAATAATCATGTCTTGCTTTTCCCACCAAACCTCAATTCCGAATTCCGAATAACATTCCCCGCCAAGCCTCGATCGTCAATTCCGAACGGTTCAATTTCCCGGACTCCGGACGACAATATTCCCCGCCGAACCTCAACAACCAATTCCGAATAAAGAAACTTCCCCCCAGACCTCAACCGCGAATTCCGCAAAGCAATACAGTATTCCGCAAATGCAAATACATACCCAACAACACAACGACATAATAACAATTGCAACCACACAAGCCAAATACAACTACAAACACACAATTACAAGCATGCAACCACAAAAGCGTCCCCAACACACAAACAAAGACAAATCCGCAACCACAAACACAAACATAAACACACAACCAAAGAACACCACAACATACCACAACACACAACCACAAAGACACAAAGACACTGCACTCACAAACACACAGCCACAAACACAACCCCAAGCACATCCACAAATGCACCACCACAATCACATCCACAAACACCCAACCCCAACCACACAACACACAGCCACAAACCCACAACCACAAATACACCATAAACACAAAAGCACAATCACAAACGCACAACACACAGCACACAACCGCAACACGCAACCCGAAGACCCACAACCAAAACGGGTAACCACAGAACTCACGACCATAGCAACATGCTCCTCAACATAGCATAAAGCATAGAGACAAATAATTGAATTGCCATGGTGAGGATCATTCGAAGTAACAACCTATATTTTGTGTTTTCATTATATATATATAATTGTTTAAATAGATTTCTATATATAATATCGAATAAGTTGATTCATTTATATTATTGTCTCTCTCTTTCTCTCTCCATCGCCCTCTCCCGGAGATTAACCTTTGGCTAAGGCGAACAAAGGCCCAAAGCCCTCAATGTAAGAGTCAGCGAGCAAGCGTCGACACAAGCCGCTTCATCTCCCCCACACCAAGGAATTGGTAAAGAAAATATTTCCACAACAATCCGTCTGCAGAAAAGCGGGCGGCATTGGTATCCGAATCAGCTTGAAACAATAGAAATATAACTTATTATTTAAGTGTACTTCATTATAAAATACCAAAAATATTTGATATAATATACAATATTTGTTTATTTTAGTAATATGTCCATATTATATTTCCATTATGTGGGAATAGATTTGCAAATTAAATCCCAAATCGTGCAATAAGGGCATAATCGGTCGAATATGCCCCTCTTTGACACAAGCATTGATTGCGAGATTTGCTATAACCTTTGGAGCCAGGTCAGTGTCCTATAGTTGAATTTAATGTCCTTTCAAGTTGTCAAGGCCTGCCGAAAATCTACAATGCATCGGATCTATTGCGGGGCTGCTGCAAAACAAGACCGCAATTGCCTATGCTCGACAAGAAGCCGGAGTAGATTCCAATCGCATCCCACGCATGCTCTTGAGAAGGCAAATGACCTCTTGCCACTTGGCAACCCTGCCACAAGCCCCAATGGCAGCACTGCACCTCAGCCAGCCACTCAACCAGCACAAAATATCATAACTGCGGTATATACTGTAACAGCATGCCCCCCTCCCAAAAAAGAAACATATGTGTAATGTCACAAAGTCACCCCCTTTTGCAAGCTCTGGCTCACATTTATGTTTCTTTTTTTTGGCGACTACGATGGACCACGCACAACAAATGAACAGGTAAACAAGGTCGACCATCTTAGATTTGCGTCAGGACCGTTGCCACGCAATTCTAACTCTGGCAGCAGCCAGGATAGGAAGGTGAAGATTCACGAACCCAAGAAAACAAGAAAGTATGTTCTGCTTTTGCTGACTGAGCAAGGCACAGGATGGCATCAAGTTGTATCTTGCATTTAAGGGCTCCTTCCAGAAGGCTCAGGGTCTGCTCCCATGCGCTAGCCTCTTCACATGCGTTGAGAGCCGCGCCGTGTGCGAGAGAGCTGAGGTGCAAGCTCGTCACGTGCGCTTGGCCTTGGAGGTTTGGATGTATCGGTCGCATCAATGATTTTAGATGCTGTTGAGTTTGATGTGAGTTCTCTTTCAAGGCTGTTATTGGTCCATTGTCTCCAAGCTCCAGATAAAATGACATAGTCACCAAATTTGAAAAGGATTAGCTTGTGACAGCTTCAAAACGAAACTGTTCGCCCGTGTCGGTTTAGGTGCAGGTCAGGAGCCAAAATGGTGTTTGACGGCATCATGCGTCTACTCTGTACACATGGTCGGATAAGTCTTGATAGGAGGAACATGTGCCTACAAAAGGTTCCGGTAATCAGAACAGTGAACAAAACAGTGTCCAGGGGCTGATGTCTCTAAACAGTCTATCCAAACGTCATCACCCTGCATAGTTTTAAAAAATGGATTGCAAGCGTCTGCAAGAAACCTAGCAGTGCAAAAGCACCTTGCCATTGGCTTGCTCTCGCGCAGGCGCCCAAAGCTGACCCAAACACAACGGTGTTTGCTTGCAAGGATGCTTCAACCAAAGCTTCAAGCAGCATCCTCAGGCAGTATGCGGATAAAAGGCCATGCAGCACTACTACGCAGCAACAACAGTTTCCTTAAGGGACCGGCAAAAGAAGTCGTCCTGGTGGGTTCCATGGGCTTCTGATGCAAGTTTCCCACTCAGGCGGTATGCAAAAAATGTGTAAAAACCTCGTGCGAAAGTGCCCTATGCCTTTGACACATGTACTTTTATGCAGGCCATGTTTCCCCTTTCGTGGTGATAGCTATGGTATGGAACCCACATCACACACAACGCACAGTGCCCCTGCGGAAAACAACAAACAAATGCCATGGCTTATAGTCATAGTCGTAGTCAAGCCCCCCCCCACACATATGTTGAACATTTATTTGTTCACTTACCAGTGCGTGTTGATGATCTTCTTTCAGCAATCGAAATCGACCAGAATAACGGGGCTAATCGGGGCTATCGCGGTATCATGTTCCGCCCGCCTCGAAACAAGGGCATCTCTTCTCATTTTTTCGAGCCAAAGCAAGATTGAATTCACCGGGCGGTTGTATTTACTGCATTTTGCATAGGCTATTCTATAGGTTTAACAAGGTTTAGAATGGCCTTCTCCAGGTATATCCTGGTCGCTATCACTGACCTCACGAACAGGGACGAGCCCTAAATCGAGCTGGGCATCAAGCTTTGGACCCATTCACCAGCACTCTTGCAGGCACTCATCGCCGAAGCATAAGTAAAAACATCCTTGATCGGCTGGACCGGAGCTGCAAACAAAAGACCCAGCGCAGCGAAACTATGGGACACTGCAGAAACCCATATCGTTGGATGTCTTTTGGTGTTTGCTGAGTGTCTTCAGTTCACATCAATCTTTTGGTGCTATGTTTGTGTTATGCCCTGAAGGTGGAACAAAAGGATGGGTCAGGGATCAACTGCCTGAAGGCCTGACAAG